AAGTTCTATTAGGAGCAGCTCAGGGAGCTGGGGATGTTTAGCCTGGAGACAAGAGTTGGGGTGACCTTACCTGAAAGGAGGTTGTAGGGAGCTGGGGGTCAGCCTCTTCACCCAGGCAACCAGTGACAGGATGAGAGGAGATAGCCTCAAGCTCTAGTAGGGGAGATTTGGGTTGGACATCAGGAGGAATTTGTTCATGGAAAGGGTTGTTAAACATCTGAATGTACTGTCCAGGGAGGTGATGGATTCACAGTCCCTAGAGGTGTTCAAGAAATGACTGACACAGCACTTAGTGTCATGGTCTAGCTGACAAGGTTGCGATCAGTCAAAGGTTGGACTCAGTGATCTCAGAGCTCTTTTCCAACCTAAATGATTTTGTGATTCTGCGCTATCTTAAAGGGCAAAGGAATCTAGGCAGGCTGGAGATCTCCCAACAACAAAATCTCAAAGGTGTGGGAGCACTGTCCCTGTGTGAGAAAAGAGAGGTTGCAGGCTAGGGGGAAGAAAACCAGTCTGAACAGAGAGTTTTGACTGTAACTCAGGAAAAAAAAAGTGTTTACAACCTTTGAAAGAAGTGGCAGTCCACTCAGGAAGACTACAATGATGCTGTGAGTTTATATGGAGAGAAAATTGAAAGGGCCAAAGCCCAACTAGAACTTAATTTGGCAACTCCAGTAAACCCCAAAATGTTTCTATATATACATCTGTTGAGCTGGAAGACAGATGGGGAACAGAATGATGCCCTCATAATCCAACTGGAAAAGAGTTAGAAACCTGCACATCACTTAGACACACAAAAGTCTATGGGGTCAAACAGGATCCACTCAAGGATACCGAGGGAGGAGGTGGAAGGGCTCACTGAGGCATTTTCAGTCATTTACCATCAGCTCTGGCTATTTGAGGAGGTCCCACTTGACTAAAAGTTAGCTAATGTGATGCCCATCTACAAGGGCTGGAGGGGGCACTAAAGGCCTGTCTGCCTGGGAAGGTCATGGAGCAGATCAGCTTGAATGATCTTTGTACACAGCACGTACAAAACAACCAGGGGATTAGGCTCAGCCAGCGTGGCTGGGTACTACTTGACTAACCTGATCTGCTTCTGTGACAGGGCGACCTACTTAGTGAATAAGGATAAGGCTATGAATGTTGTCCACCTTGACTTTAGTAAAGCCTTTGACACCTTTTCCCACAGCATTCTCCTGGAGAGACTGGCTGTTCATGGCTTGGATGGGTGCACTGTTTGCTGCGTAATAAACTGGCTGGATGGTTGGGCCTGGAGAGTGGTGGTGAATGCAGTTACATCCGGGTGGCAGTCGGCCGCAAGCACTTTTCCCCAGGGCTCAGTTTTGGTGCCAGTTCTATTTCAACAGCTTAACTGATGATGTGGATGAGTGGATCAAGTTCACCTTCAGTCAGCTTGCAAACAACACCAAGTTTGGAGGGAGTGTCCATCAGCTGGAGGGCAGAAAGACTGGCCAAGGCCAGTAGTATGAGGTTCAACAAGGCCAAGTGCCAGATCCTGCACTTGGGTCACAACAACCCTATGCAGTGCCACAGACTGGGGACTGAGTGGCTGGAGAGCTCCCTGGCAGTAAAGCATGTGGATGCTGATTTAACAGCCAGCTGAACATGAGCCAGCAGTGTGCCCAGGTGCCCAAGAAGGCCAGTGGCATCCTGGCCTGTATCAGCAATAGTGTGGCCAGCAGGACCAGGGTAGGGATTGTGCCTCTGTGCTCAGCACTAGTCGTGTTGTACCTTGAGTTTTCTGTCCAGTTCTGGGCCCCTCATTACAAGAAAGACGTTGAGGTGCTGGAGCAAGTCCAGAGAAGCACAACAAAGCCAGTGAAGGGTCTGGAGCACAAGTCTGATTAGGAGTGGATGAGAGAGCTGAGGTTGTTTAGCCTGGAGACAAGGAGGGTCAGGGGGAAACTTTCCCTCTCTGCAACTACCTGAAAGGAGGTTGTAGTGAGGGGGATGTCAGCCTCTTCTCCTAAGTAACAAATGAGAGTATGAGAGGAAACAAGCTCAAGTTACACAAGGAGTGGTTTAGATTGTATATTAGGAAAAATTTCTTTACCGAAGTGTTGTCAATTATAGACCAGGCTGTTCAGGGAAGAGATTCAGTCACTGTCACTGGAGATATTTAAAAGATGAGGCACTTAAGAACATGGTTTAATGGCGGATTTGACAGTGTTAGGTTAAATGGTTGGACTCAATGACCTTAGGGGTCATTTCCAACCTAAATGATTCTATAGTTATACGGAATTAAGAACATTCTCTATGTATAGACATAACAGACAGATGACAAAATCTTAAAGACCAACATCTCAATTAATGAAACTAATTAGTGGAGGTAATTAATAAGATGATGTCAGAGAAAATCTACTCTGTTTGTGCTGAATGGAGGTTATGAACAACAAAAACCAAAGACATTGTTTACGTGGCCCTTACTTTCACAGAGCTGATAATACTCAGGTTGAAAACACAGTCCACCCTGGCCATATGAAGTTACTAACCAGAATCCTTTCATTATGATTTAATACAATTGCATCACATAACTTTGCATTTGAAAATAATTAATAAGGAACAGGGACTGCAGGGCTGGTTTTTGCAGTTAAAGAGCAAATTGAAAGTGTAGAGTCTAAATGGAGTCAGATCCAAAACCACTCTACACATGGATATGTGTGATGTCAACAATGAGTAACATGACCGTCCAGTTCCACAGGGCAGCCCAGGGGAGAAGTTGGTTTGGTCTGCGTAGTGGTGCCTCACATAACTTCCTTGTCCTGTGTGGGAGACCACATGATGGTCCGTGAGAGAAGTCAGGAGGGTCAGTGCAGCAGTTCCAGCCCTACTGTGTGTTGTCTGTAAGGATGTAGGGTCCCCTCTGTTTCTCCCAAGGCACTCCTGTAACCTCCCTTTTTACTCTCCAGGGTTTTGCTTGAGGCCTCTTCTGAGTCTTCTGCATTCTCCTCAAGTTTCTCTGGTCTCTCCTCATAATCTCTTTCTCTAGGCTATCTCTTGTAGGTCTCTTCTGTGTCCCTCTTGAGAGACCCTACATAATATGAGTAAGAGACTGGTAGAGAATGCCTGATTCCTGACAGACTTATCCAAATTCTCTTGGTGTCTCAGACTTGGTCTTGCCTCACTGGCATTGACAGTCTGCCCCTTCTGAAAGTATCTCCAGATTTTCCCCATGACACTTTTGCAGCTTTCATAGCAGTTAACAAGTTGTTTACTCTTAAATGGTTCCCTTATTCTTCTCTATTCTTTCATAGCTAAATTTCAGCAAGGCCCAGCCCGCCTGACACACAATCTAGCCCTTATTCTATAAACAATCCTAGAACTCTTCCTATAGACTAATTCCATGTATTTATCATGTTTCAGTCATCCCCATGACTTTTGCAACTGAGTAAGTTTCCAACCATCCTGTTGATATTTCTACCATGGCTAGAACCACTGCTTCTTGGAGGCAGACTCAGGGAGCAGGCTATTATGGTCAACTTGCCAACAAGCTTCCTCAGGTTTGTGTCTTGAAACTGTCAGCAGCAATAAATGCAATCCAGGGAGCATGAAAACACAGGCACTGTTTGGACTAATCTTGTGACTGAACTAAATACAAGGTACAGAGCACTGAAGTCACCACAGCAACTCTGAATTGTACATACATAGTTCTCAATGTAAGGTCAAGCCCTGAGACAGGAAATCAATGCTGCAGAAAAAGGGATTTTGGACATGGTCACCCTTGCAACATATGAACAACCTTTTACAGTAGGACTTCTATTTGCTTTATTTCAGATCAACAATTTTGTTCAGCTGCTGTGCACTCCAGCAATAAGTAACAGAAGGAAGCAATCTGCAGTGTTTTAAGTGGGATCACTGCAGATCATTACAAAAGAAAGAATGTATGAAAAACAGTTGATCCTCAACGTTTAACTTCTTTCACCTCTTGCTCAGACCAGGAGTGCAGAGAGGTCTGTTTTATTTCTGTTTTGTTTTCTCTCCTCTGCAGGGAGATAGTGCAGCAGTGTGTTAGGTGAGGGTTTTTTGATTTATTTATTTAAACAAGTGTTAAGATCTTGCTTGTTCTGCTCAGGCATCACTTTAAGTACAAACTGAGGACAGCATGAATAACTTAGAGCAGCAGAGGACCGAGTACACCAGAGTATAGCTTAGCACATAGCAGAGTCAAAATGGAATCAGAGCCTGGATAAAAGATGGTACCAGCACACTCCACCAACAATGCCACACAGTGTTTGTGTTGCCACCTTGAGCCATGACACCACGATGAAGTGCAAAGCATGACCCTCTTTGGAATGCTGAGAAGCAGCACACAAGTGTTCATTCTTCAAGTTTTCCTCAGAACACAGGTTAAGGCCATGTTCTTTGAGAAGCTGAAAATGTGTGGTTTGTACCTTTGCACATAAGACAGACCTGCACTTTGCATCCTGTCTCTAGAGACTTAATTTCAGAGTAAGAGAATAATATGTTATCAAATACAGAAAGCACGGTGATGACTGTACTTCCACAAACCTGAATGGTTTTTCCAGTTATGGAAGGACCTGTGAAACGTAATCTTGGCCACTAGAGCTCTCCTACCCGTCATGCAGATGTTCACAGCTTTCATCAAGCTCTGAAATACTCATCAAAATAGAAGCCTAATTAACACCTCTGCAAAAAGTCTGCAAAAAGTGACTCACCAGTGTTATGCTGTGAGCAGCAATAAATGGATTCCTTGGACACCACCAGCAATGTCATTCACATATGCACCCATGTCAGCCCTTGTAAAGGTGCACATTATCAAGAGAATTAGTCAGGGCAGAACTGAGACATATGATTTTCCAGACTCCAAAGCAGATTATAACCTAATGATTACTTTCACAACACAGTTAAGACACACAAACACAAGTTGTTCTGAAAGGCTGCTTCAGTTATTAGCTGTTCATGGCAATCTGAGTACACAATGACAATCAGAGGAAGAAAAGAGAGAGGATTATATGTTTTTTTTAAAATAAACTTTTAATGTGCTATATAGGCATCATTGCTACAAAATCTTCCACCTAAATGCAATACTACACACTGTTACCACACTGCATTTTCACTGTACATTAAAAAATCTGGGAAGAATATTCCTTCACTGGAAAAATATCATACAATCACTTAAATAAACAAAGACAACATTACAGTGCAAACAAAATCCTGGCTTTATTTATTCTGCAATTACTCAGTACTTTCTAGAAGTCTTTTAGAAAAATAATAAAAAACCTTCCCATGGACAACCAATACTTTTGAGATGATTTCTTCTTGCTGAACCAAGAACCTTGATCTGATCCTTGAAGCTGTAATAAGCTGTATACACATTTGTATGAAGCAATGGATCCCAACCCAAAATTTGCAGACAGCAATAAAATGGCACCTGCTGGCTTCATTTGACATTTGATCAGACCCCTGACAAGACAGGTCTGATACAATAGTTATCCCCATGAATTAAAGACAAAGTGCTTAAGGAAGCCAGGCAAGGCCTTGGTTAATGATGCTGTTGGTTTCTACTTGTAACTGCTGTTAGACAGAGTAGGGGCATACTCTTTTTTCCTTTAAAGAAGAAGAAAAGCAGACCATGGAACAGAAACGATGCCAGATTCAAACATGCAAAAGAAGAAAGATGACATGTTTCTGTGCCAAAGGGCATGATAGTGTTGCCAGAGCCCACAAGGACTCAAAGCAGATGACACCTGATTCCTAATCTGTGTGAGCTCTGCCACCTTCATAAACTCCTACTCTGCTGAGAGAATATGCTAACTTAAAAGTGCCTGTATGCTCTTGTCAACTGGGTGATGTTAAGACAATAAAGAGTTCTGCAAATACTTTAGGGAAATAAAAAATGCATGTAAGTGAGTACATGAAAAAGGGGGTGTTTAGTTTCACTTGGAGAAGATTGTTGTCTCTTTGTTCTCCATTGTGTCACCCTTCTCTTGGAAAACCAGAGAACCTATTCAAATGCAGCTTCAGATTCTGGGTGAGACAGGGACAGTCTGACCCACTGCTGCACAGAATGACACTATTCACATATGTGTGATCCACTCCTGTTCAATCTGCATTGGATGTCACATAAAGAATAAGGCAGGCTTAAAAGGAAACAGAACATTTAGCACCAGTGATATTACATGGGTCATCCTTGAGATTCTTATCAGATTAGACAATACAATGAAGCACTACTTTTACAGGCAGTAAGTGGTTATTCCATTACAATTTTCAGATTTGCACTTCTTTCTAAGCATACATAAAAAATAGTAGTAGCTAAGAAAGCTGAATTAAATAGCACACAATTTCACAGTCCTATTGCAGTCTGTAAAATACATAACCTGCATATAACCAGTTTGCTACTATAACAGCTGATGGGTTAATGCATGACATTCTAGACATATGTGGGAGATGGTTCAACACGAGGACTATAAGGCTATTGATTCCCCAGTTCCAACTTGTGCACAACTATAATTTTTCACTTATCTCATTCAATGAGCACACAGAACATGTAGAAAATATGTCTCAAGTGGAAAGGCAATGAGCTGGCAGGACTAAGACACAGAGCAGCTTCTACAGTACTTCTGGCTCACAGTGACTCAAATACAGCAGGAGGCTTCTGCTCATGGTGAAAAAGAACACTGGCCAGAAGGTATGTGTCAACGGGGCTGTGTTTTAAGAATGGCTTGGTAGACCAGAAAAACAAATTCTGCTCTGCTACATATCACAGTTCTCACAGCTGCAAAAGCCATCTCGTGGAAAGGCAGTGTGACACACACGTGTTAATCTGCTGTATCAGTAGGACACCCGTTTGATCCAGATGAATGAGCAAGTGAAGATTTTGCCTACTAAAGCTTTATAAAAGCCTTTGACCACCCTCATGCATAAATAGCAACCCACATATCAAACTGACTTATCCTAACTACTTAAAACATTATGGTGTAACTGCCCCAAACAGAATTAGCTGCCTGTACCTACGAATGAAACTTGCAAATGAAGACAGTAAACATTAAGAGATTATTGTACCAAAAAGGATAAAAATATATAACTACTGTTTAATTACATCCCCTATTCGTAAGTAATTGACCATGATTCACTCTCACAAAATTACTTTAAGACTGTGTGTTGTATCAGGGATGGTGATACTTTTGGCCCAGTCACCTGTAAGAGTTTATATTTTCCCTGCCAAGTCCACTGATAAAACGGGAACTTCGTCCTTGGAGAGAGAGCTTCTTGTATAAACTGTATTAATTGGTGTTCTGTGATTGGTTCATCGTCTGCCAAGGACATCTGAAGGAGAAACCGAAGAGGAGGGGATGAAGTAAAGACCCGTGACTCAATTAGGAAAGACCCCCGAAGCATAGTGCGCATGTGGAAGGGAAATTCCAAAGTTCTCACTCATGCGCTGAAGTGATGCACATAACCAAGGGGGTGGGACTGAGAACCTCTGGCAGGGTGGTGCTGGCCACACCTGCCTAGGCAGACATAATCAGTTGATTGTATAAAAGCAGACAGCTCATTTTTTGGGTAAGCTTGCTCCACATGAAGGACCAAGCTGTCTTTAGCAGGGACGCCTGCTACGTGTGAGCCTGCTGACCCTCTGAAAAACACAGCTGCTGCAGAGGATTTTATGGTATTTGGAGTTGGTAAGATACCCCATGAATGACGCCTGAGTGAGTAGGGTGTCATATTTCCTCATTGGTTTCTCTTTCTCTCGAGTTCCCATTTACTTTGGCCACTTCTTTGTAATAAATATCAGTTTTGTTGAGCTTTCAACGGTGTTATGGTTTCAGATTTTGGTATGCTCCGAACCCTTTCCTAATATATGTGTCTAATAGGAGTTCAACATTTGACTACCCCAAGAAACCACACTAAAAAATCCCAAACCTATCAACCTAAGTGACCAGAGCCAGAGACTTGTCTGCTAAGCAGCTCCTTCTCAGGTCCATCAAGAACACGCTAGGATCCCTCAGAGTACTTTACTCTTTCTCATGGAGAAGTTTCTCAGGGTAGCAAGAGAACAGAAGCTGTTGGTTTTTTACTGCTGAGAAGAACTTGTTGGTTCTTCTCAAAACATGAAGGAGCAACTTCTGTTGGGAAGCACTTTCATTCACAAAGAAGATCTGGGAAGGTTATCTGCTCTCCTTGCACTAAAATAAGTTTTCTTTCTCTTATGTAGCAAACAGGTCTAGAGGCATGCTTCAGCACAAGAGTATCATACACATGGTCCCATATGCAACTCTGCAGAGACCCCACATTCACAAGACTAAATGCTGTCACTCTCCATCATAGACTCAAACTCTGAATTCTGGCAATGAATTCAGTGCAACCCATCTTACCTCTCACCTCCCATCCACAGGAAGGGGTGAGACTAGGTTATTAGAGTGTCCGCACAGCCACAGGGTAGAGCAAGGACAAGTGTTCTGCTCCTTTGATAGGCAGCTTTTTTGTGGTGTAGTAGTGGATGACTTCAGGAACACTGTCAAAGGGAGGGCTGTTCTGGCCCAGGATGTATTTCTCTTTGGTTTTCATCAATTTCATATGCATAAAACCTTGACTGCTCCTGCAAGAAAAGCAAAGTGTTAGTTTGCTGCAGTTTACAGCTCTTTAAATAAAGCTCTTTAGGCATAGGTATATTACACAGATAGGTCAACTCAAATACACAAACCATAATTCTTACAGCTGATAGGTGGACTTTCGTAGTTCTACTTTCTCACAACATCTCTGCACATCTGTTCTTGTTTTCCTTTAATGTTTATATTTTTCTCAGCCACTCTGTTCAAAATAAGTCCTTGTTCTCATGGGACAGCTTTCTCCTGATGTTTTTCTCTTCTTCTCAGAGCGCATCAACATGTTGTCAGGACCAAGGCCTCCATTCTCAGTCAGCTTTTCATTCTATATCAGGGGTCTCGGTCCAGCCGAGATTCCCCACATTAGTTCATGCTTGTGCATAGGGAAGCAGCACCATGACAGGCTCTCCTCATGATGTAGGAAGATGTAGGAGAACAAAATGCAAGTAGTTGCTGGCTCACAGGCCAAGACAGTGGCCAGTCTGACAAAGTGACTGCTAGCTGCAAATCCCCACGGACAGTTCAACACAAAGGCAGGCTAAGGCAGTATTTTGTTCTCAGAGCCTATGCTGCCTGGATCCAAGTGCAAGGCTGCGTCGCCCTGGAATTGATCCACATGTGTGCCAGAAGACAATCCCTTTCCTCAGTCATGTCCCACCCCCCTCCCAGCCCCATCAATGTTTTCCTGTGAACACTTATTTTCACTATAGCTAATCATTACTTTTAGACCCAAATATATCATTGGTGTTGGCCTGTCAGACACAAGCTGGCCACGAGCCTTGCTCAGCTTAGGCAACACCTGTCCCATTCTATCCTATAGAGGCCTCAGGACAGACAGACTTTACCCATCCCACCCTGGCAGTAAGTGCCCAGAACACATCTCTGTGCATAATCTGGTGGCTTCAGCTGGGAAAACTTCCCCAGATAAGCATAATGCTGCACTGTTCTGAGCACAGGCTGCTATCCTGCAGTCTTTCAGCAGGCAGAGACCACGGTGTGACTTCCACAGCAGAAGCAATAAATTCCTGGATAACCAGCCTGCCTGCACAGTGCACTGTCATGCTGAGGGAAGGCTCATGATTACACAGGTAAGAGAAGAGAGGCATGGCAACTGCCCTGCCTGCTCCTGCCAAAGCAACCCATCCAACACAACGCCACTCTGATGGGCAGAACCCACCCTGCTGTACAGTACAGTAGGTGGTAAAGCTGACCTAACTCTTCCCAGAAGTGACCCTTCAGTGTCTGCTGTCTTCAGGATGACATATAGGCTATTTTTAGAGTGCAGAGTTTAGCCCCAACAACACAAGAGCAAGGAGCAGCCCCTACACTGCAAGATGTTAGCTGAGGCCTAGAGGGTTTTTACAGCTTGCTTGATGTCCCCCAATCCCTAACTTTCTCACTCCAAGCCATTGTCTCTTCCAAGTGTGTCCAGGGGCAAAGGCAATAGTGTTAAAACTGGAGTTGGTCTATGTCAGCAAAATCCTCACAATTTAAGATGACACAGAAAGCCAGAGTCGGAAAACAAATCATGCTGCGTTAAAAACAGTTTATCTAAAATACGCTATTTTCTAGTTAACAGGTAGAGCACTCTCTCTGGAAATACCTGTAGCATAACCAAGCTCGTATCTTTCAGATGTACTCAACAATTCTCTGATGAAGTGAACCTTCCTGAGGGGCAGAAAACACTGCAGGCAATGTAATTATAGCTCTACATGCTTAAAACCTTACTTTAAATATCAATTTCCTAGTGGAAAAATATATCCCTCAAGTCATAACTGCTCTCCAAATTATTCCCCTTAAATAAGAGTGACTTATCCTTAAACCCTTATTATGAGGACAAAGGTATTGTTTTCTTTCTCCAGTTCCCTATGCATCTGCTATGCTATAGCATGCCTTAAAAGTGTGCAGATAAACTATGGAATTGCAGGTGCATGCTAAGTTTAGAAGTATAGCAAGGATTAGAGAACAGAAGTGCACTTTAGTACACTTTAGTGCAAAGACACTTTCTGCCCTTTTTAAAAATGGAAGACAACACATCTAATGTAAACAGACTGCTACAAGCCATATATTCATGACAGACACCCATTGCTTCTCTAAGAGTATCCCACAGTCAATGAGCTTACAGTGTATGATGACTGTGACTGCCAAAATTATACAAATGAAAAAAAAAATAACTCTGCTGTATCATGACAGGTCAGCCTTTTGAAAGACCACACTGATTGTGAAGATGAGTAAAAGATAATGTGACATTTGGCTCATTTAGCCATCGAGAGCTGACTGCCTAAGACTAACAAAGCTCAAGATTTTATTTGCACACAGCTTTTCTGTTAAAACCAACTGCTAACCAGGATCTCTGTGGAATATCCCAGATGATTCAACTGCCAACTGGTCATGTGCAGATGAAAAACTGTGAGGTTGTCTTCATCCAGTTATTCAGTCATCTTCATTCTCATCTCCTCTGATTATTCAGTGACATCTCTAACAGCTCTCAGTCAAGCACTAGTTCCCATTTTCTTTTCAAGACAGTCTGTTGGTAAACTGTGAGGACATGGATGGCCACCTAACCTAAGATTTTGATTGTTGAAAAGCAGTTATTTCCCACCTGCATACTGTCTCCTGTCCTACCCCCTTTGTATCTTCTCCACTTCAGCAAATGTGGTGTTTCGTCAGCATTCACAGTTAGAGCAGATTAAAATCTAGAGTTTCCCTTTTGTAGGTCTTCATAGTATTGTGTGTAAAATACTTTCCTCCTTCACTCCCTTTCTGCCTTCTCTTAGTTTCCAAAAATTACACTGTGAATCTGCTATGTGCCTTCCTTGTTCCAAGTGAACTGATCTGTCACTAGCTGCAAGTAGAAATATCAAACCAGACAATTCTTGTCTTCTAGAATGAAGAACAAATTCAGTTGGAAGAAAGTCAGCTTAGCACCTTGAAACCATGCCCTTGAATTAAACACTTCCAACTGTATAAGATTTGAAACTGTTCACATCTACACTAAGGATTCTTCTGTGCTGTTTCTCTTTCTCTATTTGCCCTTGAAGTTTGTCCTTCTGTCACAGACTCCCCCCTTCTAGTATGCCTGGACTCAGAGAATCAGTGCCTTTAGTAACTGGTAAGGGCAGAAAGCACCTACCCTTGATTAACAGTACTACTGCTGCCAGACCCGTGACCAGGATTAAAGGGACATTGTTAGAAAGGAACCTGGAAGTCATACTCCTCCCTCTTCCTGTCCTCCAAATTCTTTCGATTTAAGCTCTGATTTTAGTATGCAAAGACATTACTGAAATTTCAGGTAGCAACGGGGAAAAAGCCTCATGGTTGAACTGGCTGTAAATCAGTTTCTGCTTAGGTCTTGAAGCACTGTTGGAGTCTACCTGAACAAGTGCCTGACAGTGAGAAGACCTGGTTTTGGAATGTTGATTTCTCAGTTCTTTCAACAGCAATACCTATTAGAACCTGCCAGGCCCAAGGTTTTCAAAGAAGAGAACCTAAAGGACAATCCCAAATTCACATATGTGAACACTGATGACAGCCAGTATCTTGAAGAGATGAGATGTTTTGCAAGAGAAGATGCTGGGACCTGACCTAAGATGTGATACTGCTACTATGTGAATTCTGAACATCACTGCAGTTTCTCAAATGTTGCAACTTTTAGTTCAATTGAGGGAAATCACTGACAAAACACTGCTACTGCTCTTCCCTTCTATTTTATTCTCTTCTTTTCCCTTTTGCAACCATTCCCATGAGTTTCAAATACAGAAGGAGAGAATTGCTAGTTGCTAATCCCTGCCCCAAATTGCTTTGGAACTCTCAAGCACAGATGTTTACACAGACACAATACTTGATATATGACTAACAGTCACACCTTGTTTAAAATGTTTGGCAACAGAACCATAAAACCAAGTGACTTTGAATTACAACTTTCCCACACGTTTTCCTTCAGTTTTCAAAATCCAGTGAGGATGGGAAAGGAATTGTGCAGACAGCTAAACAGACTTGGGGTTTTTTTGATCTTATGCCTGAAGTGTGATAAAAGAACATTAAATAAATATTAATTAGGTATTAAACCTAGTATTTTTTTTCCAGAAAATGTTAATGGCTTTGAAACATCATTTGAAACATCATTTATGTTCACAATCAGAAAGTTTGGCCAAGCCTTCTGAAAACTGTTTTTGCTGTTTTGTCAGAACAGATTTTCTGCATTAATTTTGATGAAATGTCACTTGAACAAGAAAAAGAAGCAATAGCTTTGCAGTAACATCAGAAAAAAAAACATTCTAGCAATGTAGGAAACACATATTGTGTTGTTTTTCCATTCTGAAATGCTTTTCCAATTCATGATTTTGATTTATATTACATGCTGTCACTTTGAACAAAACCTATAATGTTTCATGTCAATCTACAGTAACAAAGAAATAAATTAAAACCTCCTCTGAAAAATAAAAACTCACTTTTTTCCCCCAGATGAAAAAAACTTCGAAAAATCCTTTACTGGAGGCATTCAGAGGCTGTCCTGTCTACTGCTTTTTCTGTTTCAGCTCTGCTTTTTCAAGCACAGAATACACAGTGCCATCATTCTACTTCTGGCAGACACTGTCTCCATGGTAAAGTAAACAATGTCTCTTCCCCTACAAGCAAGAGTTAGTAGTGTTCATTTGCAACCAAGATGTGAAGATCACCTTATTGAGCCCAGGCTCCATTCTCTATAATCAGCTCCTATCTGCTGCTTTGAAGGTAGTGAGGATGTTTAGCTTGTTGGCACTCTGCAGAAGTGACAGAATCCTTGCTGTCTACTAACAGCCTCCTGGCTATTACCTGTCAGTACTACTTAGGCTGACAGCAGACTAGTAATACACTTTTAAATATTTTTATTGAATCGCTGATTTAGACAGCCATCAAAAATCCCACTACCTCTTTACAAATTATATTGACAGGAAGAAACTTGTAGTTTTTACAATATCACAAGAGTTACTTACAAGAACATATTGTGTGT